GAGATGAGGCTGTACGATCGTCATTTTTAAAACCATACGTAATTAATATGTTCGAAACGAAAACCCGTTTCAGAATTCCTGGTGACATTTCATGAGATAGGGAATCTACTGTATGCCAAAGATGTTTCGTAGGCTGCAGATAGTATCTTCCAGGGTCTAAAAATTGGCATCACGCGCCGACCGATGGACACGGTGTGCAGACAAAAAACTGGATACATTTGGACAAGCAGTTTAGTTTGAGTGCTCCTGCGACTATGCAGACATAGAAACCCGGCCACGAACCGATCAAAAGAAGCGCCGAGGTCGACCCCTCCCCCTCTCCATTGCCACCAACATTGACTATGATGTTGATCTAGACTTCAAGTTAAAGCCATTAGCCTGTAAAAAAAACCTGCATGATACAAATTATAACAGCAAGGGAAACTCACCTTCTTTTATGCCCAGATCCAAGGTCTTATCGTTGTAAAAGAGAACGACCTTCTTGTCGTGCGGGGTGACAACTTGGATAACATTATCCCCAAGACTCTGTCAACAACAAAAAAGGCGGCAAAATTATTAGGGTGGCATAAATACTGGGCAATAAAGGTGCTAATAATAACAATATTTGGAAGCAAAATAAATTCCATTGAGAAGGGCTCAAACGATCACCAATTCTAACGAAAATAACGTAAGCACAGATTCGAAATCATAACATACAGTCTAAAAAATTCAGGTTAAAAAGAATCAGGAGCGCATTTTTGTGCTTTGAGGGTAGAAAACGTGGGGGGTGGTTAGGTTACCTGAACGACCTTGTCGACGTCCGCAACCGCCTCGGCTAAATCATCCAAGTAGATGCCCCCGAGGCCTTTGACCTCATGTTTTTTAAGAAGCTGATACAATTCTTGTTTGTTCCGAACTTCGTATTTAGGCCTAAAGACAAATTTGCCATCAGGAGTGGAGTGAATTTTTGGATTGTTCGGCAGTGCCTGCAAAAGAAAAAAACAGGGCAAACAATTTATTCGAGATTGGTCTCCGGGAGACCGAGTTAAGCAGTCAAA